TGGGGCTTGAGGCCAATCACGATAGTCACCCATTTCCTGGGCCAGAACTGGAAGGAAGCAAAAAGTGGGTATAAAAAGTACATTGGCCAACCTAAGGGCAAATAACAGGGAGATGGCTAAGTAAATCCGATGCATCCCACCTCACTGAAGTAGGATGGAGCCGTAAAGAGCTGATTCTGAGGACAGTTGGGCAACATGGACAACGCTTATAATAAGGATCCCATACAAAAGGCACAATACAGAATTGTATCTGTGCTGAGCTTTACGAACCCCTGTAAAAAGTATGTCTGCACACGAGCAAGGACTGGAAGGGAATTGTGGAAAAAGCAAACCTTGATTTATTGTGAGTGGCAGGCTCGTCGGGGAATTATTCTTTCCCTTAGATTTTCATTAATGTTGTTATAATGTCATTTGTGCAAAGAAAAATAAAAACCACTAACATATAGAACAATTGCACTGGCAAATCATTCTGTCAAGCTGAGAAACCAAATCATATCATTTCTCTGAGCCAGCAAACGCACTCGAAAGACATCAGTGCAAGAGTAAAAGCCTCTTTTTAGGAAAGAAGCAGCCACGGGGGATGGGGAAATGTGTGGATTGAGTGTGGGCAGCCCCGGGTTTGAATCCCAGCTCTGACCCTTACCTTGAGGTTTGGGGGAAGTGATTTCAGCCCTTGTACCCTCCTTTTCTTCATCTGGAATGTAAGGATGCTAATGATAACCACCTCCACCGCCTTACGGGGCTATGGTGCAGAACAGATGATGTAGGATGTTTCACGGGGCTTTGCGAGGTGGGAAATGCTGTGCGGTGGAAAGCCTTATCCTGGTATATACGCAAGTACCTTGAGACAAAAGCATTAGGTACCGTTTGCCACTGTCCCACCTCAGCTGATCGCAAAGCTAGGCTGGCCTGTGTGGCTAGGTCTTGTCTTCTCTGGGCGCTGGGTGCCACTGAAATTTGATTAAGCGGGTCCAGCTGTCCCCTTTTAGCCAGGGTTAGGGAATGCTTGGGAAAATGTCGTGGGCTTTGCTCCCCCTCTAAAATGCTTAAACTTGGTGGAGAGAATAATTGATAAAGAACATGGCGAAGACTTCTTCAGCTGCTCGGACTCTTCAGCCAGATGTGACCACTTACTCGCTGTACACCCTCAGGCAAGTGACCTAAGTTCTCGGAGGGCCCATTACCTCCTCGGTCTGGCGGAATGTGTCATGCCTGCCTCGGCGTGGTTGTGAGGATGAAATGAGGTGCTGGCGAGGAGCATGGGTGTGTTGCCTTTATTACTGCTTAAAACTGTCGGGGGGGGCGGCGCCCGGGAGGCGCCATTGGCCAAGCGTCCAACTCCTGGCTTCGGCTCAGGTCATGATCTCCTGGGTCGTGAGCCCCACGTCGGGCTCCACGCTAAGCAGGGAGTCTGCTTGAGATTCTCTCTCTCCGCCTGCCTCTGCCTCTCCTCTCCTCTTCTCTCTCTCCCAGAAATCAATCAATCAATCTTTAAAAAAAAAAAAAAAACCTGTCGGAGTAGGAAGGATCTTTAGGGATCACCTAATCTAGGGCTTCTCAATGAGTGCCGAGAGGGGTGTGGAGGCAGTCTTGGGGGAGCACAGTGTGTATATATTATTATTTTGCCTGTGAGCGTTGAAAAATCCTCTGTGGGAAAAACAGATTTTTTTGTCTAGCATGGTGGGACCCGGGTATTTTAAGAAAGGCGAGATAGGTGTTTGGAAACCGCTGGTCTCCCACAAAACTTTCATTTTATAGACCCACAGAGGTAAGGTGATGTGCCCGAGGTCACCCAGCTACAGAGATTAATGCGGGCCCCGGTCCAGCTGCTGTCCCCCCACCACACCGCCTGTCACCACAGCCCAAGAGTGGTCCCCATGCCCTCTGGGATCTCCCCATCTCCACTTGTTGGAGATGCCCTGTGCCACCATGTCCATCTGACCATTATCAAGCTGGGAGAAACCACACAAGGCTCTGACATTGAGAAGAGGCAAAAAATGATGTTTGAGATAACAAGGAAAGATGTCGCTGGTAGGGGGTCCTGTACACTGACAGGTCAGCCCTGCATCACCCCCCGGGCAGTCCTTCCAAACCATCTGAGCTAATGCAGCCTCCAAAGTGCCATCTGCATCCCTGTGGAGTAAATGGTCTTCGATGAAACCTTCATCTCTCTCAGTAGCAGATTTTCTATTTAAAAAGTCAATCTCCTGTCAGATTCTCCAAGAGCACAGATGGAGGGGTGTGGGGTCCCGGGAGCAGGATGAGGCTCTCGATCGCTCCCTGTCATCTGGGTGGAGTGTGTTCTTTGAGTCTGCTTTCTGGCGTTAGAGATGGCGGCACAGAACCATCTCTGTGAATTCCTTTTGTGAACTTTGTAGACGCGGGGGGTGAGGCAGGTGCGGTGTAGGTCCCTTAGGCTTGCCTCAGAGAAGACATGCCCCTTTCTTGTGCCCCAGGAGGGATAAAAGGCACATCCCATCTCCAGAGTACGGCTCCTTTGGAATATTCGGGCCCACTCAGCAGCCCGGGGCCTTCCTCCTGCTTCAGGGACCTCACTTCTGGGATTTCTGGCTTCTGTGACTTAGCTCCTCGCACTTCTGCCCTGGCTTTTCTCGCTGAGCACTGGATGCTTCTGCCCTCCCCCTTTCCATACTCTTGACTGCCTCTGCCCCCGCACCATGGCTATCTTCCTGGACATCTGCCCCAGCCTTTGGTTCTGTCACCAGCTCCCTCCGATTCTCTGGGTGCTGCAGGGCCTGTCTTGGGGGATGGGAGCCAGATGTCTGCTCGGAGTAAAGGGCAAAATTGGAAAGGGTGACATCTCTTTCGGCGGCCACAGAGCCCAAGGTCACACTGCCGGCTCTTAGGGTGAAGACAGCCCCCATTCCTACTATTGTCAGGCCCTCAACCTCCCAAACATGAGATCTGTGTTTATGGAAACTGACACACGCCCACCGTTTCCCCACCCAGGGGCAATAGTTTGCCTGGACTCCAGCCAAAAGAGCTCAAAAACCTGAGTTGAGGGGAACAAAAGACAAATACCAGCCAAGACTCTAATTTGTAGACTCTTCCCATCCCAACCAACATGGTCCTGGTCATGCATGATGGCGGTTCCTACCACAACAACAGCAATCAGCTCCAGCCCAGAGGGGGCCAGATGAGAAGTGGCTGCTGAGGTTGATGACACCTTCAGGCTTGTGTGAGGCAAGCCAGGGATGATAGCCAATGGGAGACCAAGCTGAGGATAAGACCAACAATGTTTCTGGGGCGCCTGGGTGGCTCAGCGGGTTAAGCGTCTGCCTTCGGCTCAGGTCATGATCCTGGGGTCCTGGGATCGAGCCCTGCATCAGGCTCCCTGCTCAGCGAGGAGTCTGCTTCTTCCTCTCCCACTCCCCCTGCTTGTGTTTCTTCTCTCCGTCAAATAAATAAAATCTTTTACATAAATAAAATAAAATAAAATAAAATAAAATAAAATAAAATACCAACGACGTTTCTGAAGGGTTGCCTCTCTGAGCCTTAGGCAGAGGTCCAGCATGTTCAGGAGGGATACTAGAAGGCACAGGCCAGCCCCAGCATAGCTTCTTCCGAGCCAGGCAGCATCCTGAGCACTTTGCGGATATTCACTCATTCGATCCATGCAACAACCTTATGGTATAGGTACTTTCATTATCTCCTAAAGGAATTGTATAGGTTAGAAACTGCAAATTACACAACAGATACATTGATTAGAAATTGAAGCTCAGAGGCGTTAAGTGACTTGCCTAAGGCACGCAGGTGAGACTGAGATTCTAGCCCAGGCCGTCGGGCTTCCAAATCTGCCTTCTTAGCTGCTATGCTAAGCTGCCAACACGAGGGAGCTAAGACAGTCAGGCCCCCTTTGCCCTCCACCCACCAGCTGGACTAGGACTGGACTTCAGTGTCTACTGAGAATTAGCAGATGGTTTTCAACTTGACGAGATTGCAAATACTATCTATCAGTGCCTGGGCTCCAAGCCTGAGAAAGTCTGGTTCAGTTGGCCTGAGATGAAGTCCAGCCTGTGGGGAATGCGGAGGGCAGGGTGAGCAGCAGTTTGGGGGAAGCTCCTCAACTTAGAAACACAGAGCATCTCCCCCATCCTAACAAACGTCTACCTCCCAGCTCTGCCGTGCCCTCCGGTTATGGCCCTCTCTCTTTCCTTTCTAACTACAACCAGACTTCCTGAGAGGTGCCTCCACTCCGCTCCCACTTCCCTCCTTAACCTGCTGTGGGCTGGCCTCCAGGAAGCAGGCCTGGCCAAGGTTACCCTTTTGGTGCGCAAAGGGAGGAGAGAGAGAGAGAGAGAGAGAGAGAGAGAGAGAGAACCCCAAGCAGGCTCCCACAACCCTGAGATCATGACCCGAGCCGAAATCAAGAGTTGGACCCTCAACTGACTGAGCCAGCCAGGCGCCCGTGAACAAGATAGGTTTTAAATGTTTTAAAACCAACGATTCTCTCATGCCTTGTGCCCTGGGAGATAGACTTTGCTAGAATCTGCACTACGGTGGCAGGGTGGTGGTGGTGGAAGCGGTGAAGGAGACCAGCGGGATTCTCCACCTGATGCCGTGGAGAGCAAGGTTGGACACCGAATCTCACGATTCTCCGGCTGTTGGACATTGGAAGGGCCTCTTTCCCTCTCTGAGCCTCGGCTTTCTCCCCTGTTCTGGGACGCGGCATCATTACTCCTGCACCTCTAGTGAGGGTGCTGCGAGGTCACCTCTCCGTGCCATAGGCATGATCCTCGGCCAGAGTGGGCACTCACTAAGAGTTGAGGAAACCGAACTGAATTGCATTCAGCCATGGTGCACAGGCTCGTTCCGGGCCAAGAGAGAAAGTGTGTGTGTGCAAGAGAGACTTGCAAAAAACAAGGCCTATCTCTGTGTACGTCTCTCCTCTGGGAAGGAAGGGGCCCACACAGTGACAATAGACCAGGGGCGCTGACTCAGACAGCCAGTTCCTGCCCACTTCCCCTCGCTGCAGGACAGCGGCTGGGCCGAACGGGAGGTCAGCCCTCTGTGGGGCTCTGACTCGTACCTCTGGCTGAGAACCTTTCCTAGAGAAAGACAAGACCAGTTGGCAGGCGCTCCTCCCTGTTCTGCCGTGACAGGACCCCCTGGGCCAGTGTGGCCGTGGGCAGGCGGTGGGGGCAGAAGAAAGCAGGAGAGAGAGGAACCTCACTTGTCGAATCCAGCCTTGCTCTCCCTGGGCTGCGGAGCCCAGGGACCAACTCCACAGGCAGCAGAGCATGTGACTGATGGGGCCAAACTGAACCCAGCCGGGGTGCAGGGGAACGGAGTTCGGGAAGAGTCCCTGGGTCCCACAGTGAGGAGCCTGGGGACGGGGCTTGGAACAGTGTGGAACCCCTCGGCCCCCTGCCCGCAGTGCGGGCCCACAACACACTTCTCCCTCGCATGACGATTTGCTGGATGTGGCGTCTTGGTCATCCACACCGCTAGGATGGAGAGACCCGAATCTGTCACCCTCTTCTGGAGCCGGGGAGGTGAGTCGCTGGGGGAGGAGGGTCGCATGCTCGGTGGAGGGGCGAAGGGAAGGAATTGGGGCCCGTGGAGGAGGAGGGGCTTCCTGCACTCGGAGCTATCCTGAGGCAGCCTGGGCCGTCTTGGGGTAAAGTGGGTTCCCCTAGGACTAGAGGTATGCCAGGAGGGGCGGCGCGACCACTGGGCCGAGGTGCTGTAAAAGGAATTCAAATTTGGGTGGCTCTGGAGGAGGAGAGGGTGGATGTGATCACATCCCAACCCTGATGATCTGGGATTCTAAAGGGATATAAGAGTGACCGAGGAGACATTAGTGCGTGCGTAAGAAATCCCGTATCGCTCATTTTCTGCAAATCGACTTCGCATACTTTCTGCTCATTCGGATGGGGGGAGATGCCCTCTCTGTCAGTCTTGGGGAGGGACTCCTGCTGAAATGAGGATTGTGTGTGTGTGTGTGTGCGTGTGTGTGTGTGTGTGTGTGCAATACCAAAGCATGGGGGCAGGGAGGGGCCGGAAAGAGATGCCTATCACCGGTCATCGTTCACACAGGTTACTAGCCAGGAACCCAGTGTCTTCTAATCGCAGTGCCAGCCAGATCTCCTGGCAGTAGGGTGGAATAGAGTTCAGAGTCCCGAGGCGCACCAGCCTCCCCAACTCTGGCTTGGGTGAAGAGGATAAGCCTGGATAGGGGAGGTGACCTTACAGTTGCCCGCCCTTGGAAATGGCCTGGAGGTAGCGTGTGGATAAGGAGGGACTTTCCAGCAGCCTCTCCACGGGCTGTCTTGGAAAGGAGTGAGGGGTCTGTGGGTCTCTGGATAGGTTGCCTTTCTCAGTCACCAGGCAGGCCCTTGGGAAGACAAGGCTGGCTTTCCTCTTCTGAGGAGGTGGGGGAAAGAGGCCCTCCCCTCCCCCCCACCGGGATGTAGGCCCGGCCCCACCCTGCAGTGGGCTCCCTCCTCCCGCCTCCACAGCCACCTCCCTGGCACCCCGTCTCTCTCCCTCCTGCTGGGCTCCCTGCGGCCCCTCTTGTCCCCCTCCAGCCATTGTCCACTCTGTGGCCAGGGCGCAACTTTATAAAACGCACCCGGCCGCTCCAGATCCTCCCATGGCTGCCCATTGTCCACTGGTGAGAGTGCAGATTTCCCTTTCTTCTCTTTCGCTTTCTTGCTACTCTCTCAAAACAGAGCAGTGATAACATCGTTTCTCGCTAACACAGCTCTGACATTTCATAAATCTCTGTCCCAGACAACTGGAAGGGGCTATATTTAACCTTCAGCCTTGTAGCTTTTAATGGAGGGCCTTGCTTCAGGCGCTGCCTTCTAACGCCACAGGAGACCAGAGCCTTTTCTTTGTTCTCTGCAGGCCAGAGCCGGCCTCTGCTTTCAGCTGGCTGATGCAGGCTGCTTGGCCTCAGAACACCCGCCCTCCTCTCTCTCTCTCCAGGTGAAGGAGGTCCCCGTCCTGCCCCCTGGAGTGTGCCCCCTCACCTTTCTTATCTGCAAATACTTGAAAGACTCCTTCTGAACCCCATAGCTGGAGAAGTGGGACCGCAGGTGAGCACAAGAACAGGACGGAGGACAGGGCCAGGAGGTGTGGGCCGGGCCAGGGGGGAGAGAGCCAGGAGGAAAGAAAAAGTATCGTCAGGGCTCTAGTTGTGGCCGGGGAGAGAGGAAGTCATGCTAAGTAAGTCCTGTGCCAGGCCCTGTACGCAAAGCTGTGCGCGTCTTGCCTCGTGTGACCCTCGCAGCAGACCTATAGGAGGCAGGCGCTATCCTTACCCACATTGTGCTCCGCTGAGGAGACTGGGGCTCAGAGCAGGTCGGCGACTTACCCAAAGTCACATCCAGCTTGAAAGCGACACAACCTCTAGCTCTGCCCTGAGCTGTGGAGCCCAGCCCGGTAGAGGAGGCGCTTTGAGGGTCCTGGGGGGCTGCTTCCATATTCTGCTCTCTTCCGCCTTGCGGACGGCAGCTCCCGGGACCCGTCACCGTAAACAAGGAGCCGTAGAGTTCTTTTCGCTCCGTCTGTCCCCTGGACGCCGAGGGTCCTGCCCCTGTCGCAGCCTCACCCTTGCCGCTCTCTCTCCCACGAATGCGGGGAATGACGGTCACCGCAAGCACTGGCCGGGAAGCCTTCGCTGGGCCGACAAAGGGGCAGCTCCATCGAAGGGACCTGCCCCAGAGCCAATGAGTGGTAACAGAGTGGTAATGACAGCCACATTTGTAGGGCACTTTATTGTTTACCCAACTGCTTTCCAAGTCAGCAGAGTCGCAGGGAAGGGAACTCCAAGGTGATCTTAATGGTACACGGTATAGCTTTAAAGAACATTGAATTACATGGTGAGAAAATGATTCACGCGCCCTTCTCTTTCTAGCTTTCTGATTACATCAAAGAGAAGGTCTCAGTGTGGTGCTATTCTTCCACCTCTATAATGCGTGCTAATCTTCTTTTGGAACAGAGCTAGAGCAGGCCTCAGGCTCGAAGCCACTGACAGGCAGTGATATCTACATAGGATTTAATTACTCTGCTCAGTTTCCGCGGTATTTATTTTTACAGTGACTTTCTCTTTGGGGCAAGGGAAACTCCTTCTGTGTTGGTGTTTGGTTGCCAGAGACAGTTTCCTTTCGTAGAAATTTACTTAAGCAAAAGACCTTGCTGTCGAGAAAAAGATGAAGTGAATCATGAGCAGAGCCGGCGGTGCCCGGACAGGGCAAAGCTCGCCCAAGTGGTACCTACATGGCGGAAGCTTGGGCACCATTGGAACGTGGCAGTCGATCAGCACCAAGTTCCTCGAAGGCCCTGCCCGGTCTGCCCCTACTAGTGTTCTGGACGTAGTTGTCCCTTACTCCCCTCCCTCCCCCACACTATGCTCTTCCAAGCCTGCCAAGACTTTGAGCATGCTGTGC